ACCCTAGACAGTCTCCATCTGCCCTGAGTACAGTAGGTTAAGATCCTCGGGTTGGAGGGGGCAGGGAGAGGGGGAAAGGGAGAAGAAGAAGCAGACGCTGTTGCGTGCTGCAGCTCTCCTGGCTGATACTTTACTACCAGCCAGCCCCATGGGCAAGCAAAATACCCCTTGCTGCATGCAGTGCTGCAGTAAGCAATTACTAAACACGCAACTAGCACGAAGTAAACGGCATAAACACAGACTGAGATACAGAGAACGCCTCACCATAGACCGAGGAACAAACGAGAACGAAGATACTGCTGCTGCAGCCCTGGGTAGCCCGCATAGAAGTGGATCCCGGGGCTGTTCTCTGCATGCAGCAGTATAAGCTGCAGCTGCTACACGTATTCTCTGCTCTCACCAACCGATCGGCGAGAGAAAATATATAAAATACACCTCAGCAGCAGAAGGTATGGAGGGGCCCTAGAGCGGGGCGTCGTCAGTGTTCGTGTCTCTGGCTTCTCTAGAGAGAAAGCAGCAGAATTTTTGTTGCTGCATTTATAATTACAAATACTTTAATATTTAAAACGCGACGCAATCTATATACTGCATTTTGCTGCTGCTTCTGCTGACGAAGCAGCAGCGGTGGTGGGGGGCGGCGTGGTGTTGCTGGTTGCTTACCTGTACAGACAGGGGGCCTCTCAGCCTGTATTTATAGATTTAAATAGCTCAATAAGAAGTGTAAATGTTTTATTTTATTTATAACAACATTATAAAATTAATAAACAGCTGTGTGGGGCTGGCAGTGTGCTGTAGGGCTTGTGTTGCGGCTGCTGCAGCAGCAGCAGCAGCAGCAGCTGTAGCGGGGCACCTCATGCAGCAGCAGCTGCAGCAGCAGCAGCTGCTGCTGCTGCTGCTGCTGCTGCGCACGAGCTGCGATGAAAGGGAAACGGCAGAACTGCTTATGATAAGAACTATAGATGCTGTTTGTGTTGAGTGTTTGCTTTTTTACTTATAATAAGGTCCTGTATTGTCTTTAATACTTACATACAATGGCGAGGGGGGGTGCGGCCTCAACGGGTGATGCTACCACCACACCGGCTGCAGGCTCGGTTGCTGCTGCAGCTGCAGCAGCTGCTGCTGCTGGCGGTGTTGCAGCAGCATCTCCAGCTCTATCCTCGCCGTCAGGGGCCCCTCAGGGGCCCCCTAGTACAAAGAACAGAGCCTCTATAGACCATGCAGACCGGTGGGGCGGAAGAGGGAACAGAGGGGGCCCCCAAGCAACAGCAAGATCATCAGCAGCAGGAACAGTACGGGGGGGCCCCCGCGGCGTTCCCCAATGGAAAGTGAAGAGTCCGAGTGGTTCTACACAGCAAGCACAGCAGCAGCAGCAGCAGCAGCAGNCAGCAGCAGCAGCAGCAGCAGCAGACCAGCAGCAGCAGCAGCAGTATACAAACAACAGCAGTACAGAAGGCCCCGCCTGCTGCTTCTTTGTCAGACCCTCGTGTAGCTTCACATCTGTCTATAGTAAGAGATATAAGAATATGTTTCCCCTCTGATGATGTTCGTTCTGCTTCTCCTCGCACAGCAACTATGGTGGAGTCTGTACACCCCGTATTAGAATGTTATAATTATAGTAAGCAAGATGTATTACATTTAGTAAGAAGACTTGAACATAGAGAAGACCTCATACACAGCGAGGTGGCCAGGGTTATAGAGGAGAGTACAGGGCACGAGCAGGGGTCATGGAAGATGGTCAGCAGAAAACAGCAGCAGCAGCAGCAGCAGCAGCAGCAGCAGCAGCAGCAGGCAGCTAGTAGGCAGCAGCAAAGAGGATACAGACAAGGCAGAGATGGAAGACCTTTCGATGCTCGCAGACAGCAGCAACGGGGACAGGGCAGAAGAACAAACTCAGAGAGGAGAAACAACGGTACGCAGCAGCAGCAGCAGCAGCAGCAACAGCAACAGCAGCAGCAGCAGCAGCAGCAGCAGGGTGCAGGGGAAACTCTGTGTTGTGTTTGTTTGTGTGCAGCGAGAGAACAAGAAAACAGAAGATCCCCGCAGCAGCAA